TCACAAAAATGTGGAGATTAAACAAAATGCTACTGAACAACGATTAGGTCGATGAAGAAATCAAAGGAGAAATCAAAAAATAGCTGGAGACAAATGAAAATGAAAATACGACATGCCAAAATCTATGGGATACAGCAAAAGCAGTTTTGAGAGTGAAGTTTAGAGTAATACAGGCCTGCCTCAAAAAACAAGAAAAAATCCCAAATAAACAATCTGACAGTGCACCTAAAGGAAATGGAAAAAAGAAGAACAAACAAAGCCCAAAATCAGTAGAAGGAAGGAAATAACAAAAATCAGAGCAGACATAAATGATATAGAGACTAAAAAAATAGGAAAACAAATCAATGAAACTAAGAGCTGGTTCTTTGAAAAGATAAACAAAATGGATAAGCCTTTAAGTAGACTTACAAGGAAAAAAGCAGAGAAGGCTCAAGTAAATAAAATCAGAAATGAAAAAGGAGAAATTACAAGAGACACCTCAGAAATACAAAAGATTATAAGAGAATACTACGAAAAGCTATATGCCAACAAGATGGACAATCTAGAAGAAATGGATAAATTCTTAGAATCATACAACTGTCCAAAACTGAATCAAGAAGAAATAGAGAATCTGAATAAACCAATCACCAGTAAGTAGATCGAAACAGTAGTCAAAAACCTCCCAAAAAATAAAAGTCTGGGACCAGACATCTTCCCTGGCGAATTCTACCAAACACTCAAAGAAGACTTAATAACTCTCCTTCTCAAACTCTTCCAAAAAGTTGAAGAGGAGGGGAGGCTTCCAACTCATTCTATGAAGCCGACATTACCCTGATACCAAAATCAGACAAGGACAATACCAAAAAAAAGAAAATTACAGGCCAATATCACTGATGAACATTGAGGCAAAAGTCCTCAACAAAATACTAGCAAATCAAATACAACAATACATTAAAAGGATCATACACCATGATCAAGTGGGATTTATTCCAGGGACGCAGGGATGGAACATCCACAAATCAATCAACATGATACACCACATTAACAAAATGAAGAATAAAAATCACATGATCATCTCAAGAGATGCAGAGAAAGCATTTGATGAGATACAGCATTCATTTATGATAAAAACTCTGAATAAAATGAGTATAGAAAGTAAGCACCTCAACATAATAAAGGCCATATGTGACAAACCCACAGTTAATATCATTCTCAATGGAGAAAAGCTGAAAGCCATCCCTCTAAGAACAGGAACCAGACAAGGATGCCCACTGTCACCACTCTTATTTAACATAGTATTGGAAGTCCTAGCCAGAGCAATCAGGCAAGAAAAAGAAATAAAAGGAATAAAATTGGAGAGGAAGAAGTGAAACTGTCACTATTTGCAGATGACATGATTTTATATGTAGAAAACCCTAAAGAATGCACTCAAAGGGGCTGGCCTGGTAGTGCAGTGGTTAAGTTCGCAGGTTCCGCTTTGGCAGCCCGGGGTTCGCCGGTTTGGATCCCGGGTGGGGACATGGCACTGCTTGTCAAGCCATGCTGGGGCAGGCATCCCACATATAAAGTAGAGGAAGATGGGCATGGATGTTAGCTCAGGGCCAGTCTTCCTCAGCAAAAAGAGGAGGATTGGTGGCAGATGTTAGCTCAGGGCTAATCTTCCTCAAAAAAAAAAAAGGAATCAATATACAACAATCAGTTGCATTTCTATACTCTACCAAAGAACTAACGGAACACGAACTCAAGAATACAATCCCATTTACAATCACAACAGAAGGAATAAAATATCTAGGAATAAATTTAACCAAGGAGGTGGAAGACCTATACAAGGAAGACTGTAAGACTCTACTGAAAGAAATCGATAACGACACAAAAAAATGGAGAGATAGTCCATGCACATGGATTGGACGAATAAACATAGTGAAAATGTCCAGGCTGCCTAAAGCAATCTACAGATTCAATGCAATCCCAATCAGAATCCCAACGACATTCTTCACAGAAACAGAACACAGAATCTTAAAATTCATATGGGGCAACAAAAGACCCCAAATAGCCAAAGCAATCCTGAGAAAAAAGAACAAAGCTAGTGCATCGCAATCCCTGACTTCGAAACACATTACAAAGCTACAGGAATCAAAACAGCATGGTACTGGTACAAAAACAGGCACACAGATCAACGAAACAGAATTGAAAGCTCAGAAATAAAACCACACATCTACAGACGGCTAATCTTCAACAAAGGAGCCAAGAACATACAATAGAGAAAGGAAAGCCTCTTTAATAAACGGTGCTGGGAAAACTGGACAGTCACATGCAAAAGAATGAAAGTAGACCATTATCGTTCCCCATGCACAAAAATAGACTCAAAATGGACCAAAGACTTGAAGGAGACCTGAAACCATAAAACTTTTAGAAGAAAATATAGGCAGTACACTCTTTGATATGAGACTTAAAAGGATCTTTTCAAATATCATGTCTACTCAGACAAGTGAAACAAAAGAAAAAATAAACAAATGGGACTTCATCAGACTAAAGAGCTTCTGCAAGGCAAAGAAAACCAAGATCAAAATGAAAAGACAACCCACCAACTGGGAGAAAATATTTGCAAATCATATATCCGAGAAGGGGTTAAACTCCATAATATATAAAGAACTCACACAACTGAACTACAAAAAAAACAAACAACCTGATCAAAAAGTGGGCAAAGGAGATGAACAGACATTTTTCCAAAGAAGATATACAGATGGCCAATAGGCACATGAAAAGATGTTCAACATCACTAATCATCAGGGAAATGCAAATCAAAACTACACTTAGATGTCACCTTATGCCCATTAGAATGGCTATAATCACCAAGACAAAAAATAACAAATATTGGAGAGGGTGTGGAGAAAAGGGAACCCTCATCCACTGCTGGTGGGAATGCAAACTGGTGCAGCCACTGTGCAAAACAGTATGGAGATTGCTCAAAAAATTAAAAATAGAAATACCATATGACCCAGCCATCCACTACTGGGTATTTATCCAAAGAACTTGAAAGCAACAATTCAAAGAGATTTGTGCACCCCTCTGTTCCCTGCAGCATTATTCACAATAGCCAAGACGTGGAAGCAAACCAAGTGCCCACTGACTGATGACTGGATAAGGAAGATGTGGTATATACACACAATAGAATATGACTCAGCCATAAAAAAAGACAAAAGTGTCCCATTTTCAACAACATGGATGGACCTTGAGGGTATGATGTTAAGTGAAATAAGCCAGACAAAGAGAACTACATCATTTCACTCGTACGTGGGAGATGAACAAACACATGGATAAGGAGAGCAGCTTAGTGGTTACCAGAGGGGAAGGGGGTGGGGGAGGGTGCAAGAGGTACAGGGCACATATGGATGGTGACGGATAAAAACCAGACTATGGGGGTGAATACGATGCAGCCATGTAGAAACTGATCCATAATAACGTACACCTGAAATTACACAATGTTGTAAACCAAAATGACCCCTATAAAAGAAATAAATAAATAAAAGTAACATCTTTTAGGTTCATTTATTAGAATAATGAATATCAAGGGAAACAATACAATCCCCAACAGACAGTCCCAACCAGAACTCCTCATGGGTTAGGTCATTTAACTTGGCTAAAAGGGCCTGTTTCAAACTGGCTGACTTAAGGATAAAACATTAAGAATAAGCATCAATCACATCTACAGAAAAGGCTCACACTGAAACTAGGACTGAGAATTCCAACATGCCACGTTAGGTTTCATTTCTAGAGTATAGAGACCTGATTGGAAACACAGTATCTAACGAACTTCATCTGTATTTTGGAAAGATAGAAATAACATAGGACTGGGACACAGCACTCATCCTGTGTCATGATGAGCAGTTGTCAAGTCACATGTCCACAAGTAACCCAACAGATACAGAAGAAACAAGCTGGAAAAGGATTCAAAGGCTGTTCAGCTGATAAAGAGATTTACAGAATACTTAAGAGACCCTTGATGTTATTACATTTGTGCAGCAAAATAAACACTCTGGAGGATGAAAGGACCAGAAGACTACAGAAACCCCTTTAACGCCCAGCTATGGGCACTCACCACTTGTGCTGCTTTTCAGAATGATACTGTAGTCTACGTGGGATTGGGTGTGACACCAGGAAAGAGTGAAGGTATTATAATACAAAATGCGAATGATGCAAAATCCTATCTACTACAGACATGTGGCATCAGCAGGAGGGCCCATAGTGCCATTTGCGGATGAGGATACCACAGCCACAGTGCGTTGAAAGACTTGCTCACACTCCCACATGGAGCTAATTCGAGGGCCAGAACTAGAACCCATATGATCTCATTCCCAACCCCCTGCTTCTGCTTCCTTCTGGCTCCAAAACGCATTCACTATACACACGTCTGTTGCTCTGGTAACTTCCTTCAAACAGAAGTGGAGGTCAAGCTCAGATCTGCCTGAGGAGGAGGCCAGGGGCAGCTGCTGGTGTCACTGAGTCACCTGTCCCAGAGGCAGTCCACAGGGGCTGCAGCCCTCTCCCACTTCTCCCAGAGCAGGAGAGGAGGTTAGAGGTGGCTGCCAGAGGGCTTCCCAGCACCACGACCCACACAGGGAGAAAGGGGCCCCACCGCAGAGCTGCGGTCACACGGACAGTAGCTGTCAGCTGACGACCAAAGAGGCAGGAGCAGGCCACAGAGACTGCAATCAGCCAAAATGCAGGTCGACATCCGGGGGACGGGAGAGACCTGGCTGCAGTGCCCCTCACTCACAGTAAAATATCTGAGATCCAAACCTCAGAGCGGTGGGAGAACACAGCCCTCTCCTGGCTAAGCCCACCCCCTACGCGCAGCCTCCAGCTCCAGACGCAAACGGTGGGCGCCGAGAACCAGAGCCAGCACCTCGCCTTCGCTCAGACTTCTAAAGGCTGTGGTGACAGGACAGACAAGGACTCTATGTGCTTTCCCACCCCCGCACCCCACAACCAGAGTTCCCTTCAGGATTCAAAACACTTACATTCTCTCAGTTTTGCTTTCCATACAATTTCCTCAGAATCCATTTCAACCAAAAGTAATTTAAACTCCACTGGTTGCTCCAAATACACCTCAATATAACTTTTCAATTTCAAAAGTGAACCATCAACAAATTCAATTTCCTTTAAAAAAAAAAAAAGTGCATTAATTGACAATATAAAATGTCAAATAAGGAATAACAGCAGGGTTAGTGCCCGCTTGGACGCTCCCAGGACCCTGGCCGTGGGAGCCCCATCTGAAGCCACCACCCTGTCCCAGCCCCTCCTCACTCCAACCTGCCTTTCAGCATCACTTAGGCTCCGAGGACCCGGGCCCGTTCTCCCAAAGCCTAACTTTTCAGCCCTTCCTGATTTCAGTGCTTCATGTTCCCAAACTGGAGCGTGTCCCCCCGCCCAAGCGCTCTGTCCTAAGTGCTTTTAAACTTCCTCATCTTCTCTTGCTTAGATCATCCCACAATCTGGAATTGATTCAAAAGCATCTGCAGAACCACACTGAGTTGTTTTATCCACATTCTCTCACTGAATAGCACCCTCCCCTAACAAGTCCTGTTATTGCTATTTTATGGATAAAGAATCTCCGAGAAGCTAATTAACTTGCCCAAGTCTGCATCTTAGGAGGTGGCAGAACTGAATTTGAATCCACCCCTTCTGACTCCAAAGTGTGAGCCCTTAACCACAACAGACCATCTCCTGCCTTTGACCTCCTCCACTCGTCTCCAGTCTGGCTAGTAAACCCGGAGGGAGAAATACATTTTAAAAAAATCAGTGCGCATCGCTATCATACACCAATGGTCTGGGGGCCGGCCCCATGGCCGAGTGGTTAAGTTCGTGTGCTCCGCTTCGGCAGCCCAGGGTGTCGCCAGTTCAGATTGTGGGTGCGGACACAGCACCGCTCGTCAGGCCATGCTGAGGCGGCGTCCCACATGCCACCACTAGAAGGACCCACGACTAAAATACGCAACTATGTACTGCGGGGATTCAGGGAGAAAGAGCAGGGAAAAGAAAAAGATTGGCAACAGTTGTTGGCTCAGGTGCCAATATTAAAAAAAAAAAAAGAAAAGCATATTAAAAGTAAATAAATAAATAAACCAATGGTCTGAACCCGCCCCTCTCCCTTTCCATTCCAAATCACTAGCAGCATCCTCACATCCTTCACCGGGTCACGAGGGCCCATAAAGCTGAGACAATGCCTCCCGCAGGCCCACTCCTTCCAAAGCCCCCGTGTTCCCCCTTCCCCAGAACTATCCTGGCGCCTCGAGCCCAGCCGCACATTCCCATTGCCTCACTCAGCACGTGCGGTTCTCTCTTCCAGAAGAGCTCGTCTCTTCCGCTGAATCCCTCTCCCTTCAAACCCAGAACAAATGCCACCATGTGGGACGCCCTCCTGGAAACCCAATGCACTCTGCACCCACTCTACGGTAACTCCACATTACGTGAAAATTGTTTCTGTACATGACCATCTACGCTAGCATCTTTAGAGGGAAAAGATCCTGACAGTCGTTTTTCAAATCTTAGCTCTTATTCCAGGCTGACCTGGTAGCCTTTTGATAGACACTTTTGATAAATGTCAGTTAAACAAAAATCATTAATGGCATAAAACTAAGAACACTTTAGATGTATACAGAGTTTTACAACTTTTAGAGTGCCTCCAAACCACTATCTTGCATGATCCTTAGAGCAATCCTGGGAGACTATCCTCATTTTATAGGCCAGAAATTTGGCCAAGAGAGAGCACACGACTAGGGACAGAACTAGACTGCTTGGAGCGCTCCAGCCATCACTCTCGCCTGTAAGGAAGAACTCTCAGGACCACGCAGTCTCTTCCTGCCTAGAGTCGCCCACTCAACAGGTATTCTTCTCTCTGCCAGTGGTTCTTCATCTTGGCAGCACACGACAGGGGGCTTTGACAAGCCCAACGCAGAGGCCATTCCTAGACCAACTAAGTCAGTGTCTCTGGAGGTGGCACCAGACTTTTGTAAAGCCCCCAGGGAATTCCGCTATGCAGCAAAGGCCAAGAATCACTGTTCTAAGCAAACGCTTCCATTTTAATCCCACCTCCCAAACAAGGCTACAGTTTGCTTCTCATGATTATCTTGATGTGCCATCTGCCAGCGCTCAATCAGGTGGCAATGGCTGAGAAGCAACCTCTCAGACCCCTCAGGAGCCAAGGGCAGATGGGGCCAGGCCAGGCTCTCGCAAGGCCAGGGTGTGTGACGTGGGCAGAGGACCCGCCTGCTTCACACATTAGTTTCTTAAGCTGCATTGCTGTAAGGCTCAAAGAGATCCTCTGAAACCAGAAAGGGAGGTTATGGCAGACTGTCTGATCAAGCCGACTGCTTCTCCAGGGCCCTGGGCCCCAAACAATACGATCAAATCATCCCAGGCAGCACTCTCTTGTTTCACATTTTAACATAACAAAATCAAAGCGTGTTTTCAACTTTTCATAAACTAGAAGACAGACAGACAAAAAGAGGTGTACAAAAGGAATTTCCACAGAGACGTCTCGGCTAGATAAGCTATGGCACACATTCAGGGCACAGCGTCATTTACGAGAAACCAAAATCACTTACAAATGTCACAGTGTGTACAGTGAAGAGCTTAAATTCAGTGACAATTTGTTCCCATAACTATTTTTCAAATGCCTGCCAGTAAAAAAAAGCCCAATATTGCTGATTAGCAGCTCCTTTCCCTTAACCTTCGATGCTCTGTGACTTAAAATGAAACTTAAGGTTTTTACTCCTGTGAAGCTAACGCTGTTAAGCATTTAATAAAAAATTCAAGAAAATTTAAAAGGTTTTTAAAGGGAAAGAGAATAGACAGTCAATTTTTGCAATGGTTGCAGATTAATCCTGAAATTCAACAGCATCTTTGGAATAAACTACACATTTAACAAAACAATTGCTTTCTTATAAACAGAGAAATAAAAAATGAGAACAAAATGCATTATTTTAAAACCTTCAAAATATCATATCTAAGAACTATACATCCCTGCTGCTCCTCCAAGTGCTTTGTAAAATATATACCTCTGGGGTAATTTCAGCTTCTGGTTCACTGATCAGTCTGTATTTCTTTCCATTCTGCAGTAACTTCTGGCAAACAGGAGGCTTGTCGATTTTCATGAATTTCTTAGAGGAGTGCTTTATAGACTTGGAAATATCCTAAATGTGGAAATAGGTTTTGGTTTTGAAATTCATCAGCAACAACTGTAAGAACTGTAAGGGGGAGGGAGGAGGGCGGGCGACGGGTGACGAGGCACATGTGTGTGGTGATGGATTGCAGTTAGTCTTTGCCCGGTGAACATGATGTAATCTACACAGAAATCGAAATATGTAATGACATCACCTGAAATTTACATAATGTTATAAATCACTGTTACCACCATAAAAAAAGAATTAAAAAAAAAAAGAAAGAACTGTAATTGGCCAAGCAGTGCACGTGCCGGCCAGCACCGCCTTCATGTCCTCCTCCGAGGGCGGCAATGCAAGAAGGCTCCCAGTGCTCGGAAAAGAAAGGCCACAGGGCTGAGGCGCCTCTGACCCTCACTCCAGCCTCCTAGGTCTCCAAACACCTTTCTGCAAAAGCGCTACAGCCAAAAGCAACACATACCCTGCGTGGCACCAGCCATTTGCTTCTGCAGGATTTGAGAAAATTAAATTAGCACTAGCATTATCCATTTGTATGAACGACATGCCCACCATGTGAAAGGAAAGCAACTATTTTACTGTACGCAGTTCCAGTTCACTCAGAATTTGTTTCCATCCTCCGACGGGGCCCTCAATGGGACAGTGATTTTCTAAGTATTGTTCGAGTGCCCCAGGAGGTTAATGTAACCTGTGGCCCACGCTCACTTGTAAAGCAGCTGTACAGCTGAACGTGCAATTTAGGTTTCTTGAAGGTAAAGTGCAAGGAAATCTTTTCCTAAACAGGAAAAAAGTCATGTCCGGGCTCCTAGCCTCCTGGTTCCCAGATCACAATTTGAGTAGCAAGGCTGTGGAAAACACACGGCTTAGGCTGTCCATCAGGCAACTCCCTCCAAGGCCAGGCCTGCTTGCCCGCCATCCCCACCTCCAGAGGGCTATTTCCCCATCTGTTACCTTCTCGACGCTGCTTATGTGTGTAAACAACCACACTCCACGGATCTGAGAACTCAGCACACACCTAGGAAGTGACCTTATAACCTCTGTAGGTAAGTGACAAATTAGACCCACAGTAGGGGAACACTTAAATCATAGGGACAGGATCCACCTAAACATGGCGTAATGTTTGAACACAAAGTATTCAACATTTATGATTTATTTTCATTGACTTTACCTTGATGAAGGACTCATTATTGGTTGCTATGTACACTCGAAAAGACAAAGATGGATTATGGTCAATGGCTTTGTACAGAATCACGGCCCCGTGGTGGTATACTGTTTCTTCGCTTTGCATAACAGGTCCCACAGGAGAAAGAGAGCTCACATGCCATTTGACATGGGTTGCAGAATGATCCACAGTAGATTCTAACAATGCCCCAGAGCTTTTCACATGTAAGACTTTGAACGTCATATTGGCATCATGGTCTGTTAAAATATGAAGGTAAATTAGCGTTCTAGGCATTGTAATGGACTGCACACATACACACACGCACGTGCTAATTAAACTTTTAGTAAACAAGTACTTACGACCCAAGCAGAGGGAATGTGGAAACTGAATGGAGGTAAGACAGGCTGGGTCACATTTAACATCAAACAAAGGTCCACTGACAGCCCAGGGCTTAACAACCAGGTCTGCGTATTTGCTCCAGGACAAAACGCAATACTTGATGTCAACTTTTCTGTTAACCTCGAATATCAAACCAGTTTCCGTGCACTGGTAAATCCCCTCTGTGTCCACCTTCAGTCTGCGTTGGACAGACAAGAACACCTGTTTAGTCCTAACGCTGGGTTAGCAGAGGACTTACACTGACGCACGTTTTCAATTTCATTCAAAAGCACTAAGGGAACTTCTGCAGCATTTTGAGGAAGCATCATTATAAAAGAAAACAATCCAAGTAATTATATAAAATGTGTGAAATTAGTTATGCTGTTTGTGTTTCCCCTACTTGGGGTTACTTTTATGTAGAAAATTAAATGAGTGATGATGTTAAGCCTTCTGCATTCACAATTACTTACAGAAACTGTCCCCGGGAAAGGAGCCTGGGGGTCACCTGTTCATGATGTTTCTGGAGAAAAGGTATATATATATAATATATAAATAAGGAACATATAAGTAAATGTTTTCTTAAACAAAGCAAATTAGAGAACCATATTTTATAATTAAAAGAAACTTACACTTTCAGCATTACAGTGTTCACAGTAAGGCTGGACTTTATTAAACTCTAAATGATGGAGAAAAAGTTTTACTTTTATGAATGTGATTGGCATTTTCAAATAAAATTTTTTTAATAAACATATATGACATGACCAGATTACAAAATTCAAAGGGATACGCCCCTCAGCAATACTATTTAAAAGAATATTTTGGGGGCCGGCCCCATGGCCTGCTGCGCAGGTTCAGCGTGCTCTGCTTTGGCGGCCCAGGTTCAGTTCCCGGTGAGGACCTACGCCAGGCATCAGCAGCTATGCTGTGGCAGCATCCCATATACAAAATAGAGGAAGACGGGCACAGGGGTTAGCTCAGGGACAATCTTCCTCACCAAAAAAAAAACTTTTTTGGAAAAGGTAAGTTTATACCTGAATTAAAATGATCTGTGCGTGATTCTTTATCCTCCCATTCTTCACCTGTAAAAGACACTGTCAACACATTATTGGCACAAGCCAATGGCGGGATAAATCACATACCACTTAACCTCCCACCTTCAGCTTCACAACCAACAAGAACTTTATTCATGTATCTAAACATCCCCATGGGTCACTTCAATGACACATGACGCGTTATCATGTCTGCAACTGTCACTATAGGTCTAATGCAGGAAAACAAATTTGAACGAGACTCCTAAGCTTCAATGCACCCCATTTTGGCACAAAAGTCTTTATCTGATCATTTTATCCGGCACCAACAGCTCTCTCACCATCCTTCAGACTGGACCCTCCGTCCTCCTCTCACACCGCATGCATGGGGGAGAGAACAAGAGGGCACGCCCACGGCCTCCCCTTACCCTGAGCGGAAGCTTCCTCGGCGGAAGACTCTCCTAGTTCCCCATCTGTGGAGACAAGAAGGGCTGAAGGTACAGGTGGTCTAGAATAATCGCTTCATTAATTACTCATCACCTGGGCCACGGTCTCAACTGGAGAGCTGCAGCCCCCACTCAAGCCTTGTTCACGGGGAGCGGGGGTCGGGAATTAAGCTGGAGTCATCATTCCCAAGATAATGCTTGTCTGGCATCAGCCCCCCGAGCTATTACAGAGAGAGACTAGCTCGGAAGAAAGGAATTAACATCCGATTCTAGCCTATCTAAACTGGAACTAGTGTAGGAGTCTCTGACTTAGCATGCAGACTCCTTCCATACGGCTCCAGGCCCTGTGTGATCCGGCTCCCAGCCACTTCACGTCCTTCCAGCCTCCCCGCACTTCCCGCCCTCCTGGCACTCCCTGGCATCTCTCACAGCAAAGCACACTCCCGACTCAGGGCCTTCGCCCTTACTGTCCACTCCCACAAATGCTCGTGTCACATGGATCCTCACAGCCTTGCCGCCTCTGCTCAAATGTCGCCTTACCTGAGAGGATTTCCTGCAGCTGCTCCCCCGCCCCCGAAACAGGACCTGCCAGGCAGACTCACTCTTCCCCCTTCACTTTCCTTCGAGGCCCCCGACCTGGCACACCGTGCAGTTTAGCGTTTCTGCTTCCTGTCTCTCTCCCCACCAGAACGTACGCTCCATGAAGACCACGGTCCTAGGGCCTGGTGAGTGCTCAGTGACCACTTTCTGAATGACTAGAATTCCATAATACAAAAAGGGTTAGGAAAGGGGACAGCGCTGAATTTTCCTATTATCTATACTAGCACAGGTTGCGTGAGCGTGGGCTCTCCAGTTACGTCACTAGGTCTCTCCATGCCTCAATTCCCTCATCTGTTAAATGGGGATTAGAATAATACCACCTCCACAAAGCCAGGAAAATTAAATTACCAGTAGGGATTGTCTTGACACTCAGCAAGTGCTCAGTGAGTATAGCGAACTGTTGTTAACTACTATTTTGCTATGGTGATGGGTGGGATTTATTAAAAAATTCAAGAACTCTGAAGGAGATAACAACTCTGTCACTTCGGGTGAGACCCTGTGTGTCGACGGCTTGGTTTTATATTTTAAGGGTCTGAACAAGCTTCGGGAGGTCACCCTGAGGCTCACACAGGACTCCTCACTACCTGTGCCAGGTCCTACGCCATCACCAGCGCCCAGGACAGGCAGGCCCCCGGGGCAGTGCACCTGCCCTGGCCACATAGCTGCCTGATCGCTCGGGCTGCAGGGCTGTATCAGGGACCAGGGCTGGCAGAGACGACCAGCTCTGAAAACAGCATTCAGAAGAAATGGCAAATAGAGACTAAAAGTCTCCAGGATGCTGGACTCAGAACACTACAGATCCGAAGGGTCTGAAGACTGCCCCGACTCCTGCCACACACAATCCTCCCATATTGCTTCCTCGGCCGCGCATCCTTTAAAGCATCACGAATTCCAAATTACACAGCGGCTGTACATCTGCACGGTTTTGCCTCCACACCCCACGTCCTTTTGTCTTGCTACTTGCCTTGGGAGCAGAGGAAGCAAAGGGGTTAGAGTCCCAACCAGCCAGCAGACGCAGGGCCTCTGACCAGGGCTTCCCGGCCAAAGCAGAGAACTGAGGCCCTTCTCCCCAACCTAGAACCACAGCTTCTCTCCCACCACAAACAATGCAAACGATCTCAGGGAGCACTCTGCCACCACCCTACACAGAAGCAAGCATCTGAGGGTGCCTACCTGCTCCTTCCCTCTGGCCTGGGAACGGAGGTGAGTGGGAAGGTGCCTCTCCCATCTCTCCCCCAGTGTGGAGGATGGCAGGCCTTTTCATAACGAGAATGGCCCTGGGGGAAGGCAGGGCCCTTGGATAAACCTGGGGCTCCAAGAACAAGCATTTCAGCCCACCTATGGAAGACGCGGAGCACTTCCCCTGGCAAAGAACACCCAGGTGTCTAAGCCAGCCAAGAGCCGGGGCCAGCTCCTCCCTGCCCCATCTGCCCAGTCTGACCTCAGTGACCCCAGCCTCCAGCCCAATTGGGGGCCTATGTTGAACCCCACTAACTTCCACCTGGGTTGCCTGCCCTGGTGAGGCCCTGGCCCAGGCCTGGCTTCTGGACTCTGAGGGTCCTGCCTTTGGACTCTGGGTCCCTGTGGTCATTTACCCAGTTATTAGCCTGGGACAAAAAAGACCTGATCCCAATACACACTTTTCTAATTTCGTTACTATCCTAATCCAATCTACGGAGGCTGGACTTTCGACCACATCTTGGAGGATGAAATAATCCATAACATATGAAGAAGACCGGGAGTAGGAGAGTGGGTACATTGTTTCCTTGTGGGTATCAGCATGTGTCATCTACTCCATGAGGGTGACATAGAGATAATTACAGTTCTTATCAACACATAACATGATGGCCAGGAGATTACAATGACCTTACGATGACCTCCAGCGTCCCCACTGGGGAACTGCAGAGAGAATCAGAGGAAAGCAGGACTTGAGTGAACACACTCTACTTATTTTAAAACAAAGGAGCCCAGACAGCCTTGCTGCAGTATTTGTGTTCATGGGCAGATCATATTTTAAGAACTGGGGAAAAAATCCTACAGTAACATAAAATCAGTTAAAATATAAGCTTAGTTACAAAACTTTATATGAAAACCATATTTTAAATTTAAAATCTATGCTCTTAAAGTGGTTTCATACTCAAGCTGTTCACAAGTAGCCAGAACAGCAAAACTCTAAACCACACATGACATTGTCCGACACTTCCAGCAGCAACAGCTGCCTCCGCAGCAACGTGCGGGCAGAGCCCGGGCAGGAAGCCGCCACGCCCGCGGCCACCCCCCCGGCCGGCCAGCCGGCTCTCAACCTTTTCTCTCAGGGGCACAGAGCAGAGCGCACACGCAGCACCTGGATGAACGAGATAAGAACATATCCTGGAACGCCAAGTGCAGTGAACTCAAATCTTCAAAGTGCTTACGAGTTTCCTGATGTTCGACTCAATTTTGCACAGAAAAAGATAATGAACAAGAAACTTGCAACTTAAAAATCCCAGAGGCTATCTTTCCTTCCCCTTCCCCCTTTCAACAAAGAATAAAATTCACAGGAAGGATACACTCACTTGTTTTTTCTGGTTTTGGTTCCTCATTATCTGCGGGGGGGGAAAAAAAAAAGTCTAAATCAGACTCATGTGACAACGGGGCGGGTGGGCGCGGAGCTTCCTGCCTATCCTCCGCAGGCGTCCTGTTCTGCCACTTTGCAGGCCAACTAGAAATTGTTTACCACAAAAATACTTTATCAGGACCGTATAAAACCACCTAGTAACTAAAACGTCCTCAAGCAATGTAAGTGATGTGTGCATTACTTTAAAATAGAAACAGAAGGTTATACGTTTAACTAGATTTCTACAATTAGAGACACATACATATATTACATACCAGATTCACTTTCAGAACTGCTCTGAGAACTGCTGTCCTCTCCTGAAAAAAAGCATATGCCAGCAGTACACGGTAACTAAAAACCGGGAGTTTTTATTTAATTATACATATAAAATAGATCCAAACCCAACTAATTTCTTCTTTTAATCAATTCTCATGAAGCCCAAAACTAGTCCGGTTCACATAAAAGGGGGCTCATTCTTCTCTGGAAATGGATAAAATATACTTTAATGGTTTAAACATGAGCTCCAGTGGCACTCTGGCCACAATGATCACTTTGTGTGGGCGTCGCCCGGGCCCCCGCCTGGCTGGCCCACCGCCCGGGCCCTGCGCCCACACATCTGGGCAGCTCCGGCCCTGCGCCCGCACATCTGGGCGCCCGGCGCAGGGTCCCCGAGGGCACCGCCATTTCACCGAAGCGCAGGACAAGCTCAGCCACAGCGCTCAGCTAGTTCTGAAGAAAGTGGTCCCCAAAACCCTCCCTCCACCTCTTCACCCCCAACTCAGCACCTTGGCCCACTGCAGTCAGGCCTCCGTTCCCACAACTACTTCAAAATCGTTTCCCTCATGTCCCCAGAGGCGCTGGCGCACCCGGCTCCCCGGGGCCCTCCAGGCCCCTCCGGGGCGTCTGCCCGGCTCTCCGCCTGCCTCTCCGATGCCCTCCACCGCCTCCGAGCTCCTCTCCACCCCCCATGCCCCACTTCCGCCTCCCAGCCTCCTTGCCGCCTCCCGAGCCCTGGGGGTGCATTTCACTTACTCCCAAATCTATGAGCCCAATGTCCACCTCGAGGAGCCCCGGGACCCCTCCTGGCAGACAGAAGTGCCCCAGGTGCCAGCTGCCCCGCCAAGCTCAGCCCCTCCGCTCCCACTCTTCAGTCGTTCCTCCTGTTTTCTGACACTGCCTCACCCTCGACTCACGCTCCACATTCAATAAGGAAACACGGGGAAAGCTATTAGCATTATTCTCTAGTCTCCCCCTACCTACATATAACTACCGACCACCAGAACCAAGGACTGACAATAGATACATGGAAGGAAGGAAAGATTTGAGAATAACGCTGAGAACAACAATAACAGCAGCTAATAGCAGCTGTTTGAGTGCTGCGTGCCAGGCACTATACCATACCTACTTATTTACATATAGTCACTCATTTTGCATATATATACACCATCACCCCGCATTTATTTATGAAAGTGCTTTACACATATTTACACGAGTTCTCACAACTGCCCAGTGAGGCAAGCTGAGGCCAGTTAACTTACTTATGCAAGACCACCACCACCACCCCACCACCAGGAAGTCTGGAGCTAAATTTCACCTGGGACAGTGTGGCCCGAGCTTGCACTCCTAACCGTGCTGTTGATGCAGGGTTGGTGAGCCGAGGAGTCGAAAGAAAGATTTCTTAGACTCTTAAGATCTGGCAGTAGTGCTCTTTTATTTAGAGAATAGTATAGAATAGCATGGGGACAGGACCCGTGGGCAGTCAGAGCTTCTGCTGCCACCGCTTCTGCTGCCCCCGCTGGCAGGGGGACAGGACCCACGGGCAGTCAGAGCTCCTACTGCTGCAAGTTGAGGGTTAGAGCTAAATTTAAGGCATAGGTATGTGAGTTATCTCTTTACAAGACAAAGAAAAAAAGTTAAAATGGTACCAGTGCCGGTAGGGTCCGGCCATTGGGCGGTCCCACAACTTTTAGATAAGAATCAAACCGGATTGAGTAAATGGCAGAAGTCACCGCTCAAATATTATCTTCAACTAAAGACAAAGGAGGATTTTGGGGTGGGGGGTCAATTACATGAGGTTGCCAGACAGTAAACAACTTAAGTTCGTGCCTTCCCCATTAAGAGTTTCCAGAGATAAGGCCATCCCCCCTTCCTCCTGGCGCAGAGAGGGAGGCATGGAGATTTCCTTCACAAATGCAAATGTCTCTGATCGAAGGGCAAGCAAATTCCACTCCTCGGAGCCTGCTTCTCATCTGTAGTTTTAAAAGTAACCAGCCTAAAAATCCTCGTCATAAACCGTTTTAAAATTAAGCAGCCTAAAAATCCTCATCACTGTGACACTCACAAGCACGCTCGTCATTTCTCAGGCAGCTCACTCCCAGGAGGCAGCCGGGCTGGATGTGCTGGGGGAGCAGGAGATGAGTTCCCGCAGGAGAGGGTGGCCGAGCGTAGCGCAGGCACTCACAGTGCAGGGCCAGGCACCAGGGACTCAGGGTGGAACACAGGCCTCGGTCCTCCAGGACTGGAAGCACAGAGCAGCAGTTCCCAACCTTGGTTGCACACTGGCGTCACCTGGGGAGCGTTGTGAGCACACCCATGCCTGACCCTCTGCCCTTCCTTACAGCTCTAATCTAACTGGTCTGGTGTGCAGCCTGAACAGCGGTACTTTTTTAAGGCCCCCAGGCGATTCCAATGTGTAGCCACGGTTGAGAGCCACTGGACTAGAATCAACCTATCCTAATCACTCGCCTGTTCCCTAAACTTGTTCCCCAGGGTGACTGCCCCCCTTCCTCCGAGCCCTTAGAGATGCCTTCCCACTGCCTGGAAATCCCTCCCCAGGCCCCACCCCCAGAGCTCAAGGGTTCCATGAAGACCCAGCCCAAAGGGACTTCTGCTGAGTCTCCCTCCACCTGCTAAGCTGGCCATGCCGCCTCTGGGCTCCGTCCTGTGGCACTTACCCCCCTGGCAGGCTGCTTGTTTAGCCGCTGCTCTGTGAGCCCTGGAGGACTGAGGCCAGGTCTCATCACCTTGATTCCCTGCCCCCGTCCCACACAGCTGCTCCATGAATGAATGCATATTCAAATAAATGAGCAAATGAAGGCCCTGCCCGAGTCTCTGCAGAACTGTAATTCTGCCTGGACCAGCCCCAGCCCCAGGTGAGGCCCTATCTTCTGCCCCAGTCCCTGGGAGATGGTGCTTCCATCAGGGGGATAGTGGGTGTGACTCTGGGCCACCCCTTCAGTTCACCTTCCCAGTGGTTCTGGTCCCAGGACTCCTGGTTCTAGCGTTGCTCCCTAAAGCCCCCGGGACCATTTTTCTGCCTCACGGCACAAATCTGAGGATTAAAAGTGCTACTTACTGTAAAGACTGATCAGCCAGACTCTGTGCACAGAGGCACTTAAGAAGCGACAGCTATTTTTACTACAGGTCACACTCCCTCCTAAAGGCCTGCGACAGGCACGGGCCCAGCCTGTTACTACACAGCAGGGGCCCCCCCACCCCTGTGCGGGGGAGGGCTGCAGCAGCAGACCCTTTGCTGGGGGAGCCCTGGACATGCAAACAGCCCGCAGCCCAGAGCTCCTCCCCTCCCACCTTCTCATTTGGACTGCAGTCAGGTTCACCACACCTGCCTGTCCTTCAGAATGCCCGCCTAAATGTGGACAAAACCCATACCCCTTCCTTTTGATGAGGATTTTTAGGCTGCTTAATTTTAAAACGGTTTATGATGAGGATTTTTAGGCTGGTTAATTTTAAAACTACAGATGAGAAGCAGGCTCCCAGGAGTGGAATTTGCTTGCCCCTTTGTTGGGAAACATTTACATTTCTAAGGGAAACCTCTATCTGTAAAGATGCCTCCCTCTCTGTGCCAGGAAGAAGGGGGATGGCCTTATCTCTAGAAACTCTTAATGCCAGAGGCAAGAACTTAAGTTGGTTGCTGTCTGGCAATCTCATGCCACTGATTTAGGGTGGCGGCTTCTAACCTTTCTAACCTTTACTTAATCCGATTTGATTCTTGTCTAAAAGTCATGGGATCACCCAATGACCAGACCCCACTTGCACTGATACCATTTTAACTTTTTTCATGTTCTTTCCTTTGTCTTGTAAAGAGATGAATCACATACCTATGCCTTAAATTTAGCTCTAACCCTCAACTTGGGGCAGCAGAAGCTCTGACTGCCCATGGGTCCTGTCCCCAGGCTATTCTATTCTCTAAATAAAAGAGCACTACTGCCAGATCTTAAGAGTCTAAGAAATCTTTCTTTTGACTCCTCGGCTCACTGACCCTGCATCACTTTGACCCTTCAGTTCAACTAAAAAAGGCTAAACTTTTCAAAATAAACTTTAACAGAAAATAAGGTGAGAAAGGGAACAGGGCACCTGAAGCAGCTGCACCGCCCACCTGGCTCCTTTCCTCACCTGCTGGAGGAGCCAGCTAATCCCCCCCACCCGAGGGGGGTGACAGACACCTCTAGGGGCACACAGCAGGATGGAGACCTGCGCCTCTTCCAAGGTCCCTCAGCCTAGACAGAGGCACACAGCCCACACCCCTCCACCCAGAGGCCAGGGGCAGGGCCACCCCACTGCCCACTGGGAGGTCCTTGTCTGCCCTCTGCCCCTTCCCACCACATCAGCTCTGTCCTCAGTTTACAAAAACCCCCCTAGGCTTCTGGATGAGTCTGCGCTCGTTCAGCAGAGCACCCTCCAGCCGGCTCTGGCCTGAAGTGGAAGTGTCTCGGCAACTGGAAGCCGTGCCGCCGTTCACACCTGCCGAGCAGCCCAGCAGGCACACGGCCACCCTCGCTTCCCCTCAGACACAGCCCCACAGCAGGCTTTCTCCTCCCTTCCCAGACAGCTTGGGGGAGAAGCAGCCTTGCACAATCCCATTCGAATCTCCATTTTGGTTCCATCTTACAAAATCATAGTTCAACTTCTTTTTTTATTTAACCTTAAAGCCAAAGGGTATCCGGTGACAAGAGATTTTCACACATTGAGGTATACGGGGTAACTATTCGGGTTCAAAACTGATTCTGCTTGAACTAAAAAGGCTGACTTAAGGCCTATCAAACATACACTGCACCTCTGCTTCAATCATTACAGTAAGGAAGGCCCTCTCTTCAGATGAGGCCGAGCTTCCCCTCCTTCACCCGCCTGATTGGGAACGCCCAGGTTAGGCCCTTTCTGCCGCCACTGTCATGTTGACCTGATAATTTGCAACTGAATACCTCTTTCAAATTTTGATGAAAATGTATCCCGGGTGTGTTTAATGTATGTTCTTTGTTCTAAGAAGATATAAGACTGTACAGAAACCCACACTTCTCCAGAATGCTTTTTAAGGCCTTCCGGATTATAACCCTCACTCTGGCTCAAGTAAACTCACCTTAATTATTGGTTATTTTGCGGTGACACTGGCATAACATTACATATCCTGAGGGGGTGCCATTGGTTCCCCTTTTGTCACTAGGAGTATGAAAACTCCAGAAAGAAGGCCTAGATGACCATCAAATCCATACAAAACTGCCTTGAGGAGAAAAGACACTTAATTTTCCAGATATAGGTAAAGATAAAAACTCATCCATCTGGCAACAAGACTGCCAATTGACCCCTGTCTCAGAAACTACGTGGGTAAGGAAAATAAATTAGAGGAACAACTTGTGCCATTTGTGTGTCCTACAGTATATTCTACTCTGCATAAACCTAACCATAGAATAAATCAAGTGTGCAAACCCCACAGTGCCAGCAAACCTGGGAAGGAGGCCCGGGCACAGACACGGCTGAGCTCAAAGGTTTCAAGAAAACAACATGGATTTTTTTCTGGTCAATAAGCTTTGGATTTTTGTTGTTGTTGTTTTGTTTTTTGAGGAGGATTAGCCCTGAACTAACTGCTGCCAATCCTCCTCTTTTTGCTGAGGAAGCCTGGCCCTGAGCTAACATCCGTGCCCATCTTTCTCTATTTTATATGTAGGACGCCTGCCACAGCATGGCTTGAGGAGCAGTGTGTAGGTCCGCACCTGGGATCCCAACCAGCGAACCCCGGGCCTCCGAAGCGGGATCTGCGCACTTAACCCTTGCGCCACCAGGCTGGCCCTGGATTTTTTTTATATAACTTTTTTTTTCTGTAACAGTTTTATTGAGATCTAATTCACATACCATACAATTCACCCACTTGAAGTATAAATTCAGTGGCTTTTATTATATTCAGAGTTGTACATTCATCACAACAATTTTACATTTTCACCACTTGCTAAAATAAAACCCTGTAATCTTTTCCTATCCCTCCAAACCTCCCCATTCCTCCTAGACCTAGACAACCAATAATCTACTTTCTGTCTTGACGGATTTGCCTATTCTGGGCATTTCATATAAACAGAATTACCCAATATGCGGGCTTTGGGTCTGGCTTCTTTCACTTAGCATGTTTTCAAGGTTGAACTATATTGCAGCAAGCATCAGCACTTCACTCCTTTTTATGGCTGAATAATACTCCAGTACATGGTGTTGTGTTGAATTGTGTCCCGCGAAAGTTCATATGTTGAAGTCCCAACCTGCAGTACCTTAGAATGTGACCTTATTTGGAGAAAGGGTCTTCTCCAAATAACCAAGTAGAATGAGGGCATTAGGGTGGTCCCTAATCCAATGACCAGTGTCCTTATAAAAAGGGGAACTTCAGACACAAAGATGCATACAGGGAGAACATCAAGAGATCATGAAGATGACCATCTATAAACCAAGGAAAGAATCTGACATACATTTGTCCATCACGATCCTCAAAGGAACCAACCCTGCCAAAGCCTTGATCTTAGACTTCTAGCCCCCAGCACGGTGAAACAGTCATTTCTGTTAACCCCCAGCCTGTGGTACTTTGTTACAGCAGACCCAGCAAACGGATACTACGGGTGCATTACATTTGGTTTATCCATTCATCACTGATGAACTTCTGGGCTGTTTCCAACTATTGGCTATTATACATAATGCTACTATGAACATTCATACAAGCTTTTGTGTGCACCTATGTTTCCATTTTTCCTGGGTATATACCGACCAGAGGAAGTGCTGGGTCAAATGGTAACTATGTTTAACGACCTGAGGACTGCCAAACTGTTTCCCAAGTGGCTATGCCACTCTACATTCCTATCAGCAGTCTGTGAGAGTTCTAATTTCTCTACATCCTTGTCAACACTTATTATCATCTGTCTTTTTTATTATAGCTATCCTAGTGGGTGTGAAGTGGGATCTTGCTGTGGTTGTGATTTGTATTTCCCTGAAATGATATTGAGTATCTTTCATGCGCTTATTGGCCATTTGGACATCTTATTTGGAAAACAGATTTGTTAATGCAAAGGTCACGTGTAATCTAGCCCCGCCTACCTCTGCAGACACACCAGGCCCGGCCCCCTTCCCTCTCTCTCTGATTCCAGTCACTTGACCTTTTCCCGGCTCTGGAGGCAAGCACTGCACACCTTCCCATAGCAGGGCCTTGACCCCTGCAAGGCTCCTGAACTAAGACAACTTTTTCCCCCAACTTTGCCGTTACCCAATTCATCACCTCCTCAGAGAAGCCTCTCAGGACTACCCCAGGCAAGTGTCCCCCCACCTGGCTGGGTTTGCAGAGGACCCTGTATTAGGTTAGTGTGGTCAGACTACAAAATGCCCTGATCACCTCCTCAGACAATTTCTCAGTTTCACTAAGTACAGCTTTATCACCCAACTTCAAAGGCGGTGATTTCCTACACTAAGTCATCATAAAACTTCAAGATTTATTCAACTCTTTCAAGCAGAAAAATTAAAGTCCCTACCTTTTACTCACATTATTTGAAATAAAACAGAAAAATAAACTATAGTTTAGCTTGCTATGAATTATTTTGTAAAAATTTCATTTAGGTGTTTACCAATATAAACCACATCCCTTACCTGATTTGGAGTCCTTTGAAGTATCTAGGTTGGGGGTGGGGCAATCTAAATTTGGAGGAAAAAAAGTTTCATAAACATAAGTGTATAATAAATATAAGTATAAAACATAACATTATGTTCATTTTTGTAAAAGCTACAAGTCAACAGTAATAGAAACCCCCTCTGCTATGAAGTGAGTCACCCTTTAGATGCAGAGCAGCCTTTAGTAACCAATGCCCTGTTACCAATGGCCAACGATGCCATATTCTCAGGGGAAAAAAGATGGACACCAACAAACCATAAGCCTTTCCAGTACAGAGAAGAGAAAGGCAACAAACTTCATAATTACACTTGGTTGGTTCCCAGTAATCTCTCAATTTTGTGCCAAAGAAGCTGTCTTGTTTCTCTGATCAGCTCAGCAGCCCCTAAACAGCGCCTGGCAAGTAAGTAACTTGACATCAGAAAGGAAAAGAGCACCTGGCCGACCAGGGCTCGAGTTACCACACGAAAGAATCACCATCCTTCCCCAGTTAACAGTCGATCCAGGCAAACACGCCAACAATCGAGGGAGGGGACACACAAGTTGAAGAAAAGGGTCTGAAGTTGGCCAGACAAGGCGGCCCCAGATGAGGGCAGGCCCTGAGGGCAGTCGGGAGACCCTGCACAGGGTGAGGGTGCTGCCGGCTCAGGCCAAGAAGAGGAGGGCCCTCGGTGGGCCCACACCACGCCCAGACGGAGTTCAGGCCTCAACAAGAGAGCTTCCACTTGAGCCAGGTTCAAGGATAGAATTATGTGCTGCCATTTTTTCATTAAGTGTATAAAATGGACAACAACACTCAAGTATTAAAAAAAATACCTAGTTATTATTCACGGAAAGTTTACTGAATTCAGTTGATAATACTTCCCTAATCTTACCTTACCTGAATTTAAAATAAAGTTAAAAAGAACATTAGACTGAGTTTAAAAGGAGTGAGATATAAGACCATTTATTTTCTATTCGCAAGTTGTAAAAAGCTAAAAAGACCTAAATTCTTTACATTTCACTTTTTTAAATATCTGTTGAAAAATAATGCTAAAATTTTGAAAAAATGTCATTAGTTCATCATCTTAACCTAATGATTCTTTCAACGCATTTCTATTTCTGTAAGTCGGTGAAAGCATGAATGTAACAAAGCAACTGCAGCCAATAAATAAAATGAATGAAGAAATCACTTTCTAAAACTGCAACTGTTTCCACAGCCTAAGTCAACGTTCTTGATGACTCAACTCCGGCACAGAGCACGTACCTTTCTCTTCTGAAGAGGCATTGTGATCCTCACTAGAACAAGAAAAGAAACACAGTTTTATAAACAGATACTAACTTTATACACAATAATTATGAAAATCATTGAAATGATTATGATGTTATGTTTCTCCAGAAATGCAACCGGCTGAGTGAAGCTCTCCCAGTCCTGCGGGCTCTTCCTGCCCCGCTGGCTTCCACCTACAGCCCAGCCCAACGTGCACACACACGGAGCTCACCCAGCGTGCACCCCAACACCCTCCCGTCCTGCCCCACTGACTTGCACCTACAGCCCAGCCCGACGTGCACACACACAGAGCTCACCCAGCGTGCACCCCAACACCCTCCCGTCCTGCCACCCCTGCCCAGGGGCTCAGTGCTGGCTTGCCCCACCCCGCCCAGCCACGCGGCCCCTGTGGCCTGTCTCCCCCCGGAGGGCAGCCCAGCCGCCGTCTCTGCGCTGCCTCCAGTCCCTCTGTTTCCCCTAGGAGCCGCTGCTCAGTCACCTCTTCTCCCAGGCCTCTTCACTCGCTTCCCTGCCTCTCCCCTCCATCCAGCACACCTGAGACATGCCCTGGGGCTCGGAGAGCTGCCACTGGATTAGAGGCCCTCCCTGGAGCAGGGTCCAGCCTCACGACTGCCTGAACGCTCTCTGCCCTTCTCACGCCAGTCTCACAAAAGAACCACAGCCTCCACTTCCCGCTCCCCGTCCTTCCCGAGACCCACGGCCTGCTGGCTTCTGCCCTCCCCCGTCACCAAAACCACTCTAGCTGGAGCCGCCAATGACTCCTGCCTGGGAGACCCCACGGGCCCTCCTTCAGTCCCGGGTGGGTGGCTGCTGTCTCTGGATGGAGCAGGTGACAGGCTCCTCCATGGCTTCTGCATGCCCTCTCACCTGGCGTGCTCCCTCCTCCCCCCTCCTCTGTCTCTCCAGGTGCTCCCCTGTCCTGGCCTCCTGGGGACTGACAGGGCCTGCAATCGCGTGCCCCCCTCCTCCCGCCATCACTGCCTCAGAGCTCGTCTGCACGCCGAGCCTTCAGCTCCAAAATCTTTACCTCCTTCCCAGGCCTCTTCCCTGAGTTCCAGGTGCCTGGGACCTGGGTGTCACTTCAGCACTTCAGATCAAACATGGTCAGCACTGAGCCCACCGCAGCTCTCCCTGCCCGTCCAGACGTGCCCTCGCAGAGAGCCACATCAGCAGGCCACCTAGCTGGAACTCCAGGGCATCACCAGCTCCTGTTCCCTCTTCCTGGGCAAGCAGCCAACCCCAGTCCTCCCGGCCTCCTCCTGCACCTCCCTCAACCTGGCCCTCCTCCACACCCACTGCTCCTGCCTCAGTGCAGCCTCGCTCTCACCGCTCTCCTGCCTGATTACAACCCCCTCCTGCTCACGTCCCTGCCCGCAGGCCCACGCTCTCGGCGCACACCCACAGGACCATCAGCATGGCCTACTCATGTCCTCGCTTACACCCTTCTGTGGCTCCTCATGGCCTCCTGGCTAAAGCCTGAGTTGTGTTAAAAGAAAACCGCAGGCCCAAAACCGAGTCACTCCTGCTAGGCCGGTGTCACCAAACAGGGGCTTAACACCTAACTGCAGCTTCGACCTCCATCACAAATGTCGTCTCAGCCAGTCACTCAGGAATCTTCCCGTCAGCACCAAGGAGGTGATCTGTCACATGGGCCTCCCCATCCGCCAAAGGGAGATGGGGTAACCCACCTAATAAGACCCTTTTGTTCCCAAAGTGAGATGACCGAACCCAGAATAAACCGTTTTCCACTTATGACTCCCTTGTCCTGCCTTTGAAAACCTTTCCCTTTCTGCAGCCCCGGAGCTGGCTAGATGGGATGCTGCCTGATTCACGAATCGTTCAGCAAAGCCATTTAGACCTTTCGATTGACTCGGCTGGGTCTCTGTTATTGAGAGCTCCTTGGCATGGCACACAGGAACCGCCACCCCACCCCTTATCTCGCACCCTGCACGCTCCCCCAGGGTGAATGATCTCCCATGTCCCAAGCACACTCTGCATATCACACACACACACGTGCACACACACACACACACCACTCTCTGCATCCTCCAGGGCCCCCCCGTGGCCTTGCAGGTCATGCACCCCAACTCTGGGTGCTCCACGGACAAGTACCATGATGCTGGGGTACCTCCTGGACTTGTACGTGCATGGAAGTGACAGCCCTGCTGCCCCCTTGATGCCCAAACATCTACTCATCCTTTAAAAACAGCATTTCTCAAAGTGCAGTCTGAGGACCATTAGAACCCTACAGGGGGCCCTCCAAAAGTTCTTCTGGGCCCCCTGAATCAGAAAATTCAATGAATACGTGAAAAAGCAGGAAGAAAACAACAATGGTGCTTGTACTTATGGGAGTTTAAGATCTTTATTTCTCATTTAATCATCCCAATAAGCCTATGAAGGCCATTTTAAAAATGCAGAGACTGAGGCTCAGAGACGTTAACTAACTTCCTTGGATCACACAGCTAACAAATAGAAAAGGAGCACACGAGCCTAGGCCATTACAACTTGGAAGCCCATGCACTTGCCTGGTACCATGTCTTCCCTCACTTTACACCGCTTCCCCCCTAAATCCCAATCATGGTAGTAAAAGTAAACTGAGGAAGAAAAGAGCAAAAGCAGCAGACCAACTGCTTGCCCTTTCTCTTCTCTTCCTCGCCCAAGGCTGTCAGGGACCCCCAGATTCTGCAAACCTCCTTGACTCAAGATTTTATACTGGTAAACTTTCCCATGTAGCTGGAATTTCCCAAGCTCCATGATTCTAGAGAATACATGTATTCTCATTTTCAGACCTAAATCCTCCTTTTTTTTTTAATCCTAAACTCCCACAAAAGGTCAAGGGGCAGGGGTGAACCTAAAATTAGGAAATGCTTCAAGAAACCAAGAAAGGCTAAACTGTGGGTCCCAATGAAATGCATAAAAGAACAAGCCCAGAGGCCGGCCGAGTGGCACAGCGGTGAAGTGCGCACGTTCAGCTTCGGCAGCCCGGGGTTCACTGGTTTGGATCCCAGGTGCGGACATGGCACAGCTTGTCAAGCCATGTTGTGGCAGGTGTCCCACATATAAAGTAGAGGAAGATGGGCATGGATGTTAGCTCAGGGCCAGTCTTCCTCAGCAAAAAGAGGAGGATTGGCAGCAGATGTTAGCTCAGGGCTAATCCTCCTCAAAAAAAAAAAAAAGAACAAGCCCACCATTGTGTCCTTTTTCTCCAGCCGCGTGCCTTTTATAACGCAGTCACATGCCTTTCAATTTTAAAATAATTAGGAGAGCGTGTACTGAGAGTGAGCACTCACTGCACAACTACGTCGGCTGACACCCACTTCGGAGTCCTCAGTGACAAAGTCACATCCTCCTCTTCACTGGCACTTCCACCTGCCCTCTTCCACAGCTGTTTATCCCTATTTCCAGACATGTACACATCTGCTTAGATATTAAAACTTCTGCTAAAACCCAGAAAACCTTAGTGGAAAACTTTCATTTTCTTCATGAAGCAGATGAGCGAGTAGTATCCAAGACGAGCTTAGTCAAGCTGCAGGGTAGCCCACCAGCCCTCTGCCCCAGAGAAGCCCCATGTACAGCCAGGTGAGGAAACAGACCCCAGAGCCCCCACAGACCCTGGCCACTACATGGATGCAGCTCCCCACATTCCCTTCCTTTCTGCTCTTTCCATGTGGATTGCTATAAGGAAAACCACAGCGAGCCTGGGGAGACAGCACCGACTGCAAACGGTCACAGTGCATCTAGGCACTGGGGATGAGCAGAAAAGGGGCACGGACTTCACTTAAATGCATCTAATACTCCCAAAGTTCTGATCCGGACTCAATCATCATATCTGAGTATAATCTCAAGGCTGCCTCATGCCCACCAGCTCCCAGGCCCCACCTTATTGCGGGTTCCTCTCCCCCCATGGAGGGGAGCAAGCCCTGCTTCGTGGCACAGTAAAATCTCCAAGTTACTACGGGACTGAAAGAACAGGCTTCAGACCTCAAAGGGGTAATATTAAAGGAGGGTATGTATTACACGCTTGTCAAAAAATGTGGAATATATTAAAATAAGTGCAAATGAGTAAAACCAATTGTTGGAATTAAGTCATGGCTATAGTGAAATGAACCCCGAGAGCAAAACCAAATCCTCACGTAGGCAGAGTCTGCTAGAGGTTCCCAAGTTCTTTCAAAGCCACAGCACCCCAGCCCCTCACGGGACCTCTGCCAGAGGGAACAGGGACAGGCACCGCCATCTCACACGCAAGGGAGGACACAGCACTCAGCGGGGTAAAGTCGCTTGGCCAAGCCCATGCAGGGTGGTGAAAGGGCGGGCAGCACTAGAATCCAGAGACCCCGACCTTGAGGGAGCCCTTCTTCCAGCTCAGCACCTGGCCTGACTTTCAGCGGCATGGATGGGTGACACTGGGCATCCAAATGGTCTCACTCCACTCTGGCTCAATAAGTAATAATTCTCCAGGTCAAGATGTTAATAATTCTTAAAGTAAAAATAAAACCAATAAAAAATAAAGTAAAAAAATATATGACGCCGGCCCGGTAGCACAGGGTTAAGTTTGAATGTTCTGCTTCGGCGGCCCAGGGTTCACCGATTCAGATCCCTGGCGTGGACATGGCACCGCTTGGCACACCACGCTGTGGCAGGCATCCCACATATAAAGTAGAGGAAGATGGGCATGGATGTTAGCTCAGGGCCAGTCTTCATCAGCAAAGAGAGGAGGATTGGCAGCAGTTAGCTCAGGGCTAATCTTCCTCAAAAAAATAAAAAATAAAACAAAATAAAAAACATGTATGGATTATATTGTGGGGGAGGAAAATTTTACTTCTACCCTTCTTGGCTCTTCTGGCTGGTCTAAAAGTTAAATTGACATGAGACAGATTAACAGGAGAAAATGAAAGTTTAACAACATGTACACACGGGAGAGACCCAGGAAAACTGAGTAACTCGACAAAACAGCAGAAGCCACCACCTTAAATAGCATCTTCGGCTAAAGACAAAAGATGTTGGGGGTGGGGAGTCAGCTATGGGACGTGACCAGGAAAAGCAGATCACCAAGGGTGAGGCTGTTATGCGGGTTGAAGTCCTTGCCTTCTTCGTGGATAACAATTGCCAGAGATTTAGAGTCAGCCCCCTCCTCCTGGGACAGCTAGGGAGACACTCCTACAAACGGAGATCTCCCTTACAAATGTAAATGTATTTTATTTACAAAGGGTAACTTCTACTTGGTTTACAGAGCTCCTCCCACGTCTGCTCTTTCTTAAAAAATAAGCAGCCCAAAATAATGCTTATGCCAAAGAGCATTTTGGGGTGGCAAATTCTGCTCCCCCACAAGGTGCTGGGCACAAGTGAACAAAGCACTGGGTCTGTGCCCTCAAGAGCCCATCAGCCCGAGGGGAACGGCACCCAAGGCAGCACGGGCTTTGAGAGAGCTTGTCTAAGACTGCAGAGTCAAGGAGAGCTCCCTGGGCCAGCCATGAAGGACAGGCAGGAATGGGCCAGAGACGAAGGGGCACGGGGATCGTCTGAGGCAGGAAGGAGCTGACTAAGGTGCAGGAACGGGAGGAGAGCCAGTGTGGTGGGCAGACAGGCAGGAGACGAGGAGGGGCCCGGGGTGGAGAAACCTCGGCTCTGTAACCAAACTGATGGCAACCGCCAGGACACTGAGCAGTGACCGTCCCTCTGCCGTACCTCTGCAGTTCCACTCTGGCCAGGTTTGAAACTTGAGAGCACTGGAAGAGGTCAATCACGCAGTCTCCCAGAATCTGCTGTCTTCAACATCTTACAGGGAGACTGCCTGATCCTGTGCAGCCCCCTGACAACCCGCAGGTTCTGACACTGCCTGCGTCAAGTCCAAGCATTTCCCTAAAGAAAATCTCAGTTGCCCAGGCCACCAAAGCTGCTCCAGAAGTTGCAGTACTAGACGAGAAATGCCTCTCAGGAGGCTAGGCAATTTTCAACCACAGTCCCAAGGAAACCGCCTTCATTCAGAATCGAGCTCTGGAAGCCAACAACACAACCCTCTAGTACCAGGCCCTGGGGGGGATCAGGGACTCAACAAGGGGCAGGTAGGGACAGGTGAGGGGTGGGAAAGGCGTGGGCACCCTGAATCACCAGCTTCCATGCCCGCAAGGAATACTTCCCAAGCCAGGCTGGTTGGCCATCATCACCCTGCTTCTTTTCCTCTAAGCAGCCCAAAGATCACCGCTCCAGTCAGCTCAGCCATGACAGAAGCCGTCCTACAGCTTTTTTCTTCTACCCTCCGGTCCCTGAATGAGTGCAGTCTCCAGTGCTGCTGAGGCACTTGGCGCTGGCACAGATGGGAGGCCCAGAGGGCTGGCTCTCCAGGCTGGCTCCTTCACCTACCCTTTTTCAGTTACGTTAGTGGCAAAAATAATGGTGAAATTGGTAGGTCTTTGGGCATCAAAAGGCTAAAGGATTCACTGCATCACTATTTGTGAGAAAGAAGACATGAGAAGAGCTGTATTAAAATACAGCCGGAGCAGCCATTTCAGAGGAATTGCCATACACGTCTTCTTATCTTCCAAACTGGACCAAACCGCCAATATTGCAAGAAGTCAGTAAAAACAAAGATACACAGTTTGTAAGGAGTGATGAAACTGGACTTTGCCAATGACCAAATAACTAACCAGTCTATGAAGTGGTCCTAGTCTCTCCTCATGTAGCACCAATGAATTGTTCTTAGAAACGTCTTACCCCACCCTCCTCCTCTTTTCCATAAAGATTCTGAGCCCCCTCGTGCAGTCAGGATACTATTTGGGTTTCTACTTGTATCTGTGCTCCTGAATCGCAATTCTTGATTCCAAATAAATGCTTTCCTTTTTGAACTGGTCTCTGTTTTTGTAGGTTGACATTTGTAACAGGCAAAAACTGCAAACAACTATCCCGTTCACCAAGAGTCGAATGAACACATGAGATACAGTGAGATAATGGAGTACCGTGGACCAGGAGAATGAAGGAACTGCTCAACACAACCACGTGGACAAAACCGCACAAACATAATGGTGCACAAAAGCAGCCAGACACAAAAGAGTTTATGGTATATGATCCCATTTTTATAAAGTTTACAAACAAGTGAAAGTAACACCCGGTTCCTTTGGTGAGGACGGATAGGACGGTAAGGAACATGAGGGGGCTTCCAGAGCACCATGTTCTATTTGTTGACCTGGGTGGTGGTTACATAAAATGTGTTCACTTTGTGATAACTCAATTAAGCTGTACACTTAAGCTGCTTGTGTTTTCTACATGACTGTACATACACACACACACACACACACACAGGAAGGGTTTTTAGCATCTCGGGAAAGGAAAAGTATTTAGGGCTTTAGCTTGTGGGCTACAGCTGTGAATGGAGAATGACCCTGGGTGGCAGGGGGACAAGGAGGAGAGTCTGATTGCAGTGGGGATAAGATCTAAAGGGCAGCTGTGGGGCGGCAGGAATTGGGGGAACAGTTTCAGGGCTTACTCCCTTCTTCCTTCTTGTAACTGTCAGTGAGTCTTTTGCATCCTGGACTCCAAAGGGAAGTGAGGCCGAGAGGGGAAAGTGCTGGAACTAGGCTGGCAGGGAGAAAGGAGCAGCTGGAGCACTTCCAGCAATGAGAGGACAAGGAGGGGAGAGACGGAGGAGAGAGAATGAAATCCTAAGTGCCCAGGGTGGGCAAGAAGGGGCGCGCACCTGGGCTGGGGATGGATGCGGTGGGAGGATTCCCACGACCCAGCCCAGGGGAAGCGTTCCCTTCTCGACTCCTTCCCCGAGCCAACAATGGCCGACACGCCCAGATTACTGGTTTCACTGCACTGCTCTGCCGTGCTTTGTTTACAGGTCAGTTGCCTCCGGCAACTAAAAGAGAAGCGGAAGCGTGAGTGAGTGGGTGTGTGTGCACGTCTGTGCGACGATGCCACATCTCCAGCATACAGTTCACACCGAAAAAAAATGTTCATTTGACAAATAAATAACAGAATATGGTAGTCAGACATAAAGGAGAGACACTACTCCTCAGTACTTAAAAAATCTGTAATAAACAGCTTAAAGAGCCAAAGCCATGGGCAGGGCTAAGTGTCAGAGGGCACACTGTGCAGCGACTCAGCAACAGCCGCTCAGTCTGTGCAGGTGACTGAGAACCGCCGGCGCCCTCTCCACACAGAAGGACGCGGACTTGGCTGCCACACTGAAGTGTGAAGACGACACGTTAGCAACACTCTGCCCGAAGAGGCCAGAAAGCTCAGAGCCGGTGGACTAACAAGTTCCCACGGGAAGCGGTGGGGGGGCACCCACATCTTACTGTACGAGGAGGGCTGTGGTTCGGGGGCGGGGAAAGCAGAGAAGTTTAGTTAGCCCTGTTGGTGTAACTAACCGTGCTAGTTTCACATACTACATTTCAATTCACCTCCTCTCTTTATTGCTTTTGGTGGAGAAACTTGACTCGAAAAACTTCAGTCATAATCTGATTCAAAGCTGGCTTTGTTCACAAGCACCGCTGCTGAGTGAACAGCTCTCCAGAAGTGTTCTTGATATTCCAAGCAGAGTCAGTTCCGTCCCAGTGTGGTTTTTTTCGTGCTTCTAACCTCAAGAAATCAAACAGCAAAACCTCTCGGCACACAAACTCCGCTAGGCTGACTTCCTGATTGCAACAACGTTTGAAGGGGGGCGGGGGAGGGGGGTGAAAAGCCCTCCCTCCTCCTCGAGAGAAGCTGGGCCTGACGTTTACCAATCCAGGAAAAACTGAAGCTGCGAAACTTCTTCCTCTAGCTGTTCCCGCGGAAACTGTGTTTTGCAGCAGTGACTGTCCCAACAGTAAAATGCCAGCGGCCCGAACCTCTGCGGAGCGTTTCCGCGCTGCTTTGGGTGGACTTCCTGCGCGCACTCGCGCAATGAGATTCCCGAAAGGACAAGCTGCGGCCGCCCCGCGCGTCTCGTGCTGAAACGCCACACCCGGGCTGGAGCCCGCCGCTGCGGGGGACGTGGGGCCTCCGGAGAGCGCGACCGCGCACCACTACAGCATCCCAAAACGCGCTCCTAACACACTCCCGTGTAAAAAGCAGCTGTCTTTAAAGGTCTGTGGGACGTTGATGACAGAGGCACTGGCCGCCCTCACAGGAATAGCAGACACCCTTCAAGCAATGCTGATCTCGCGCCTTCTGCGCCCAAGACGTTCTTAGTGCCACATGGGCGGTGGGGGGCTGATGGGGGCGGGGGCCTCCACGCACCGGCGAAGGGCGGCATGAAGGGAACTAATCCTGCCCTCGACTCAAACAATTTGAAAGCTGAGTGGCCAAAGCGCCGACGCTGTTCAGAAAACTCCCGGGCACCCGCCAGGGCGACCTCCTCAGCCCCGCTCCGGGGTCAGAGGGCGCAGGGGCTGCGGAGAGCCGGAGCCCGAGGCTGGGGACAGATGAGGACACCAAAGGCCGGGCCTCGGCGGCGGGGAGGCACCCGCGGAGGCGGGAAGGGCCGAGTCTACCCGCGGAGAGCAAGGGGCTCCGCCGCGCGACCTGCCGTCGTCCGCGCCCGCGGGCCCCGCCGCCGCCAGGAGGACGAGGCCCATCCGGCCCACCTGCCGCCGCCCCCGGCCGGGCAGCGGGCGCCGGGGAAGCGCTGCAGGCCCCGCCTCCGGGCCTCCCGGGCTGCGCGCCGCCGCCTCCCGCGCGGGCACCTGCGCGCGCCCGAGGCGCCGCCTGCCCTCCCCAGGTGCGGCCCCGGGGCCCGGCGCGGGCACGGGGCACAGTCCGGGACGGGGCCGCATCGCCTCCCCACGCTCCGGGCCCCGCGCGGGCAGGCGCCGCCGCCGAAGGGCGCTTTGTTCGCGCGGCTGGCGCGGGGATGCCGGGGCGGGGGCAGTGGAGCTTTCGCCGCCGTCCGAGCCGGGGCCAGGGCAGAGCCTCCTCGCACGCGCGCGGGTAGGCCCAGCCGCCCCCACCCCGCTCTGCCCTTTCTCCTCCCCCGCCCCGCGGCTGCGCTCACCTGCTCCCCGCGACCCGCGCGCCGCAGCTCATGGTCGCCGGGCAGCTGGAGGGGGCGCCGCGCGCGCCCGGGCGGCAGCGGGAGGCGTGCGCGTGCGGAGCGCGGCCCTGCGCACCCGGAGGCGGCAGACGCTGCAGGCGGAGGGAAGAGGGCGAGCGCGAGCCAGCGGGGGAGGGGACTGGGCGGGAGGGGGCGCCGGGCGCGCCTCTGCAGCGGAGGCGGCCGGGGATCCCGTGAGGGAAACGCGCGCTCGCCGTCGGCCCCGCGCGTGCACACCGCCGTGCACACTCGCACACGTGCGCGAACTTGCGGCGCCGTGGCTGCTTGTCGGCGCCCTCCCCTGCGGGGCCTCGACTTATTGACACTACCGGCGAGGATTCTGTGAAGGAGTAGGGCTAGCGCCAGTCCGGAGGGGACGGAGAGCTCATGTCACCCTGGTTGGGCCTGGATACTCCTATATCTCGGCATTTTCACCGGGGACCTCGAGACACCACCCGAGGGGTTCCCAGATTCGCTTTTTAGGGTCTGTAAGCCCTCTGAAATTCTTTGCCAGATTTTGTTTCTAAATACAATGTCTGTAGTGAGGACCACAGCTTTCATCTGATTAAGCCGCTGTGTGACACCCCTTCCCCCGCCCCAAGCTGTAAGGCTGGATAGAGTAAACCAGTGGTTCCCGAACTGCTGCACATTAGGTCACCGAGGGGTTTTTAAATCTCGGTGCTCCTGAGTGGTATCCCAGACCAATTACATCCGTAGAGGGGACCCAGGCATCAGGATTTTTAAAGATCCAGGTGATTGCAATGTTCAGGAAATTGTCGGGAACGCTGCTTAGACTGTCGGTGCCTCGCTGTAGGTTTCCTTTCACTCCCTTCTTCAGCGTGATCCTTTGCTTGTGTGTTCCCCGAAGTGGGGGGTGTCACAGCATCTGGCCCAGGTGTAGCTTACAGTAGGGGCTCACTGCACGTTCACTGCAGGATGGACGTAAAAGCGGAGTCCAGGAGGGGTCCTCCAGCTTGCAGCCCCGTCTTTGCTGTTTCTGAGGTTCTCCACAGGCTGAAATACCCCTGACGTCACGGAATTGGCCTCAGGGAATGCCGGGTATTAAATGGGGAATAAAATGGTGATTGCAGTTTACAGAGAGACCTGTCGTCTAGATTCCTTAGAATGTCTCAGCCCAGAATGTCCCTGCCTGCCCCTGTTACTCACAGGTCTGATGCTGCAGCGTGGGTGCACACAGTAGAGCCATAGCCCTGTGGGTGGCACACCCGTGAGTCCGCCACTGTGACAGGATTCTTTACGTTCCGAGAAAGCTGACCTGGCGCTCCCGCTGGGCCTTGGGGTTGTGCTGTTGAACACCAACATCAGACAAGGCTCCTCTGTGACCATGATGGAGCAAGACAAGAGCAAGACCCCTCCGTGACCGTATTTGAACAAAGAAAAAAGGTGAACTTTGTCTAAGCCACAAAATACAGCTATCCTGGCTAATAAGAGTGACAGTTGCTTCTTCACCAACTGTGGCCTTACTAGTGTGCCCTCTCTATGGATAAGACTTATGAAGATACATATTTATAGAATTACCCCTGCTTTCTCAAGGCCTCCCGAGTCGGCTAACAAAAGCCCTAGTCCTTTAATGTTTTCTAACACTCTCACTGAGACCTCTCCAGGGTTTCCCATGGTGTGCGTTTCCCTCACTGCAATGAGTAATAGACCCACCTTGTTTAACTCTAGGTGTATTCTTAGCAGTCTTTGGTGAAAGGGCATTAAAAATAAATTATCTTATTTAATCATTGCAATAAGAGCACTAGGTAGATATTACACCATCTTCACCTGTCAGCAACTGGAGTTCTTATAGATCATATGGCTCGAACTTGCACAGGGCCACCCAGCTGCCAATGGAGAGCCTGGGTGTGTGTTCACGTGGGTTTGGGGGAGCCAGGCTAGCATGCTGCTTACTCACATGAACTTTGGCTTCCAGATGAGCCTGAATTTCAACCCAAGCTCTGCCCTTGTCTAGCTATGGGAATTTGAGCAAGTCATTTAACTTTTCTCAACTTCACCTTCCTTGCAAAACAAAAAAAGTGGGTCTAGGAACTGGTATTTTTTTAATTGACGTGTAACATTATATTAGTTTCAGATGTACAATATAATGATTTGATATGTATTGTGAAATGATCACCACAATAAGTCTCGTTAACATCCATCACCTCACAGTTACAAATTATTTTTTCTTGTGATGAGAACTTTTAAGATCTACTCTCGGCAACTTTCAAATACACAATACAGTATTGTTAACTATAAGATAGGTACATTTTTTACAAGCTCCCCAGGTGGCCCAACCCAGCACCTGTTGGCAGACCCTGTTTTGGGAACTTCTGGCTCTATCTCACTTTCCCTCCCTCGCATTGGCTTCTCAACCGGTTGTGACATGGTCCCTGACCCGCTCCCCACTCTTGCTCGGGTCACCATTCCCGGCAGCTGCTGGATCTGAGGTGCTCTTTTCTGTATACCGTTGACTCACTGGACTGCTCTCTCCTTCCTGAAATTCTTTTTTGACTTCCAGGAGGCCTTCATGGTGTGACAAGCACCTGAGGCCCATTAAGAACGAGGCTCTCGATCGAACAGCCTGGGAACCAAAGCCTGAAAGTAGCCATGTGAGTGGGCTTAGAAGCGGACCCTTTAGCCCCGTCAGTCTTTGCGTGACTGCAGCCCTGGTGGACAGCTTGACGGCAGTTCCCTGGGAGACCTGAGCCACAGCCACCCAGCTTAGCCACGTCCAGATTCCTGCCCCACAAACTGTGAAATAATAAGTGTTTGTTGTTTTAAACTGCTAAATATGGGGGTAATTTGTTTTGCAGCAATAAGTAATTAATACAAACAGGAAACAAGAGTCTATAGTTGATGCAGTAAAATCGCATCATTTGCCCTTTTTAGGTAAATTCAACCGTACCCGCTCTGCAGAAGAGGGAGACAGAACGACTTATGTGTTGACAGTTCTGCCTGCTATTCCGATACAATGCAATGAGGGCATGAAAGAGGGGAGTCTGGTTTCATCAGTCAGCCTCTGTCCCAGTGCTGGGCATCTCTCAGAGAGGAGAAAGTTTTGATGTTGCCTGGGCTGCTCATATTTTTAAATATCCATGTTTTGTACAAAGTGGGAAAAATGAGGCTAATTCGCTGCTGTGGGTTCTATATGTAATGTAGTCAAAATGATGCTTGAAATCCCTTAACTCCTCAGGACCTGAGCCCAGGATTCCTCCGAACCAAGAATGGTACTGACTGACCTTAGACCAGCGTAGGAGGGGCAGCCCTGGGACCCTTCCTTCAAAGGGCTGTACCGTGGCCTGCCTCCAATCGCAGTTCCCAGGGGTGAGGGGTCAGCCCCCAGGGATGCGCCCTTCCGGATCCTGTGCCTCCCCCCAACTTCTAGACCAAGCTTAGGGGTTGAGAGACCCCAATTCCCTGTCCAAATGGCCCTGAGCCCACTTCCAGGGCCTACATGAGCCCCTTCCCCAAGTCCGGCTTTCCATGGGTGGAACATACCGCCAGAGTGCACACTCCAGAGCAAGGAGAGAGCAAGGGGTAGCTGTTTATAGGGATGCAGATGGGGCTTGTGTATGGGGGCTGAGTGGTCACACATGTGCACAAAGCCTGTCGCCACACGGACAGAGCCAGCTGTGGAAAACGAGAGAGGTGGCTGTGGGCCCGAGCCAGCTCTCCCCAGACTGCCTCACACTGGGGCCGGACTCCAAGAACCCTAACTTGACCAGGCCTTCCACATCATTTTACAGGAATATCAGTCAAGGCAGGAAGACAGAATGTATTTCCTTTAACAGTGTGTTAGCACGATTCGTAACTTTTAAGTATTTAGCTATGTTACATGTGGGCATCCACTTGTTCTCTAGCCCAGCGTCCTGCAAATGACCAGTCAGTCTTAGCCAAGAACTAACTTCTTGGTCCTTATTTTATTTTACTTTTTAGTTTTGGCCTCTCTTCGCCTGAGGGAGTGGAAGACAAGGCACTGTTTGAATGGGAGAGGAGGGCAATAGGGTAAAGTGATGATTTTTCCATCTCCTTCTCCTTGGATTTAAATATATTTGTTTATTATTTTGGCCGACACATTTGATGGGGCGTTGTCTCTCTCAGGCCCAGCTGGGGCTTGTTCTTGGGACTCTCTGCCAGTCAAGCCCTTGCTTGTATTTTTGAGTTATGGTTATTGTTTAATCTTTCTCTGGGGCAATTGCTTATCTCAGTTGGGAGTGTCCCTTCCAGACCATTTTCCCCACATCTTCATATATATTATAAAAAGCACTGTGTGTGTGTGTTTGCCTCGAAAATTGTATGATATATATGCTATTCTTCAATTTGTTTTTAGTCTGCAATATATCTCAAAGGTTCATCAATAGCAAATTTTGCTGTTTACGTATTTAATGCTATTCCATTTATAAAGCACTTAAATTGCCTCATTTTGATACTAAATATACTATACGAAATATATATGTGAGTCATGCATGTTTTCAGATTAAAAATGTAAGTTTATTTATTTAATTTTGGAGAACGAATGTTAGTGGAGAGAACTTGAAGAGAACGTATTTCCTGAAGACATCTTGGAGAATTCCTTAAAGACTGCAGTATCGGAGTGAGAATTGCTTATCTAAGCTGTGAATGAGAGAAGACCAGCCATTTTCTGATTTAAATGTGGCAAAGACTGCTCACTTCTCCCCCATGTTTGTTTTCTGTGTGTTGCAGACTCTCATCTTCTGTATCAGGCCTGGAAAGGCAGACGTGGCCGAGAAATCACCACCAGGAGGTTCCCTGGACGAACACATGAGCCAATGGAACTCTGTAGTTACGTGTTCAGGCAGCTCTTGGTTTTCTCCCTAAAGACCATTTGGTGTATTCTCTTGGCTTCTGAGCTCCCTCGGAGCTGGCGGTGTTTGTCTTCTACAACAAGGGCATTCCATTTCTTGTTTAAGGTACTTTTCGTGGCATCCTAGGGCCTGCTATGCATATGCTTCTCCAACTGACAACACATGTGATCTTCCAGGTTCCACAGAGAAAGGGCGGTGTGGCCCAATGGTCTCCTGCCGATCAGAGCTCACCAGGGTGTACATGCATACCGTGAAACACACCACCACTGACAACAGGAATCTTTGTCCAGAACTGACAGATTCCTAGCATTGAAGCTAAATCATTTATCTAGAAGAATCTTTAGCTAACTGTTATGGACTAAATGTTTCTGTCCTCCCAAAATTCCTCTGTTGAGCCCCAAACCCCCCAGTGTGATGGTATTAGATGGGAGGCCTTTAGGAGGTAGTTAGGTTTAGATGAGGTCATGAGGGTGGGGCCTCCAAAACGGGATTCATGTCCTTACAGGAAGAGAAAGAGATCCCAGAGCTCTCTCTCCATCATTTGAGGAAATAGCAAGAAGGCAGCCGTTTGCAAGGCAAGAAAAGGGCCCTCACTAAGAGCCAAATCTGCCGGGACCTCGCTCTCGGACTCCTCGGCCTCCAGAACTGTGAGAAGACAAATGTCTGTTGTGTAAGCCCCCAGTCTGTGGCATTTTGTTATGGCAGCCTAAGTGACTGAGACACTAGTCCCCAGGCTTCTGCTGTTGGCAGATGTTACCATCATTTGGGGAGGACTACTCTGCTCCTGCCTTTATCTAGCAGAGCATTGTCTCTTTGCCTCAGCTGCTGAAAGAGACAGGGCATGTGTGAGGAGGGGTTCCAGGAAAGTAAGTTTAGCCAGGAGGTTATCATTCTTCCCTCCCGACCCCTCCACCCCGCTCTAATCGTGCCCCTCAGGGGGATTCCAAGTGAGACACAGCACTGTCTCCAGTCAACTCCAGGGCTGTTGCAGAATAATAAAATATTGCTCAATAAAATTGTAACTCACTTTAATTTTAAAAATTAAATATCATTTGCGTTTTTTTCCAGAAGACAACAGAATAATTATAGTTACAGAAAAATTGGAAAATTCCTTTTTGTGTGTTTTGGTATTATTTTATGTATAAACTTCTGCCTCCCAATTTTTGATGATAGAACCTGTAAGTATCAGTTAGGGTGTTAGTTTGAGCTGAAAACAAAAGTAGGAAAGCCTTGCTACGTAAAGTGGGGTCTGCAGGCCAGCAGCATCAGCATCACCTGGGAGCTTGTAGAATGCAGCATCTCAAGCACACCCACACCGACTGAGTACCAATCTACAATTTAACACAACTTCCTCGTGATCTGTAGGCACACTTACAATTTGAGAGGCACTGATTTAAAAGATTCTGGGTAGGGGCTGGCCCTGTGGCGCAGTGGTTAAGTGTGCACGTTCCGCTTCGGTGGCCCGGGGTTTGCTGGTTCAGATCCCGGGTGCAGACATGGCACCACTCTTCAAGCCATGCTGTGGTAGGCGTCTCACATATAAAAAAAAGTAGAGGAAGATGGGCACCGATGTTAGCTCAGAGCCAGTCTTCCTCAGCGAAAAAGAGGATTGGCAGTAGTTAGCTCAGGGCTAATCTTCCTCTAAATAAATAAATAAATAAAATAACAAAATAAAAGATCCTGGGTAGTTCACAGACTCTCCAGGAGGGCCAGAGAGCCTGACGTGGGGATGTGGGACATCTCCTGACTCCACAGAGGGGCTCCTTGAGGACAGTAGCCCGAATTGCTGACAGTGTGCAGTGGACTTCACCACTGGAGCCCCCGCGTGCCAGCTCCTTCTTCATTTCTCTAGCTTCCCATCTAAGGCATGAGGTGAATGCGGGAGGCTGCTGGGGCCCAGGCCACAGCCCACCCCCAGCTTAGAGGAGGCCAGGAAAGGGAGTAGCATTTCCAGTTCCGGTAGTGAGAGTTGAGGTAATGAGATGAGGGGTGTGCTTCCAAAGGGAGGAAATCTTCAAAACATAGGCAAGGGGGTTCTGCTGCTGGCTGGCCCAAAAAGATGACAGATACCCACTCCCTACATACTTCTTCATGGAAGACTGGTGGAGTCCAGCTCTGACATGACGTGCCCACTCACGTTTGGCAAGTCCAGGAACACCTCACAGCCTGTTTCCTCATCTTTAATTTTAATATAATGGATTTTATTTATACAGAGCTTTACAGTTTATAAAGCATTCCCATGCGTATATTTTCATTTGAGCTACAGGACGATTCTGTGTGATAAAGAAAGAAGTGTTAGCCCCATTTTACAGACCGGAAACAGAGGCACAGAGTGACCCGCCTGAGATGTTGAGCCCACCAATCTTCAAGCTCCCCACACTGTAACCTTGTAACCACAGTCAGAGGAGGCAGTGTGTGTGAAAGGGAGCTGAGAACTGTAACGGGGTATTCCAGTAAGAGGTGTTCTTTATTACTCTAGCAACACTCCACAAGTATGGCTCCATCTGAGTTGAATCACTCACCATGATTCTGTTGGTTCCGGAATCGGCAACCCCCTTCTCTCCTTGTGTATGGCAAAACTATTACCAGGAAAAGTTAATAATTAATATCAGTGGTGAAGTGCATATAAATGAGAGATAAAGGAACACCACAGAAATCCAGATGGAAGAAACTGTTCAAACTGCAATTGTTTCATTGTTTAGAATCTTCTGCAGAGGGGCCAGCTCTGCTTCGGCGGCCAGGGGTTTCTCCGGTTCGGATCCTGGGTGCGGACATGGCAGTGCTTGTCAGCCCACGGTGAGGCAGCGTCCTACATGCCACAACTAGAAGGACACACAAATAAAAATACACAACTATGTACTGGGGGGCTTTGGGCGAAAAAGGAAAAATAAAATCTTTAAAAAAAAAATCTTCTGCAGAAAGTAACCAAGAAAATCTTAAATGTTTCTTTGGACCTATTTTGAAGAACTAAAATAAAGAACATTTCAATTATTTGTTATTTGTCCTCACACTTTATAAGTTCTACAAAGTCCTGCTCCAGTTCTAGGAGGTTAGAAGCTGGCTAAAGGACCACGACAATGGTAAGGCCAGAATTCAGGTCTTCTGTCTCAAAAATCAACGTTTATTTTGGGTTTCTCAATAAGTTTCTTCTATTGTTTTCTTTAGAAAGACACAATAGTTTCCTTTTTTCTTTTCTTTTTTGAGGAAGATTAGCCCTGAGCTAAAATCTGCTGCCAATCCTCCTCTTTTTGCTGAGGAAGACTGGTCCTGAGCTAACATCCGTGCCCATGTTCCCCTACTTTATATGTGGGACGCCTGCCACAGCATGGCTTGACAAGCAGTGCCATGTCCGCACCCGGGACCCGAACTGGCGAACCCCGGGCCGCCAAACTAGACTGCGTGCACTTAATTGCTGCGCCACCGGGCCGGCCCCCCCTTTTTTCTCTTTTAACAGCAGATCACACCCTGTGGTTCTTATCATCTGTTATAAATTCCACTTACTCTAGTTTTTCTTTGTTGTTGATGTTACATCAAGTGAGAGGCTTTTCAACAGGGTTTTAAATTGGGTGAGGTCTCAAGGTCAGGTGTCTTGGGCAAAGCCTGCCCAAGGAAATCAGTGAAAACTGATTAGCTGAAAAGCGAACACAATGGACTAAGGATTATTACATTTTTTTGCTGCTATGAAGTCTCTGCTCTGCAAATACCTAATGATAAATACTATCACCATCCTATCTAGACTGAAATGTCTTTATTCACATTCATTTGCCTTGCTTGCAGGGACGGGGTCCTTTTCTCTTTTGAATGTGTATCTGTAATAACCGCCTTTGTGCCTCTTATACGCAAAGGGCTATGCTGATTTTACATCTATTATCGGAAATCCCCTTTGGTACTATCAAATATCAACAATATTATCAACATTGTACAAGTGATTATACATTGAATAATTGCGATAATAATAATCACTCACTTTTACTGCTTTTTACCGTGTAATTGGCAATAGTGCTGAGCTCTTTCACATGCATTGTCCTTCTTGGTCCTCACATTTGTCTTACAAAGTAGTTACTGTTATCATTCTCATTTTACAGATAAAGAAAGTGAGGGACAGAGAGATTAAGAAATTTGCTCATGGAGACTCAATTGATAAATTTTGGAGTCGACATCCATCCCCCTTAGGTCCATTGTCAAAGCCTTCTTGCTTCCCCAGAGCAGGCTCCCTCTGAGTTCTGCCAATTTCTTCATCAACACCGTTGCCTTTGAAAGGCCTTTGAAAGCCTAGCTTAACACAGGTGCTGGCATCAGACAGGCCTGGCTTCAAATCCCAGGGAGTTAGTTTGACGGTAACCATCAGGACAGTTTCTCCCACTTCTACTGCCAAGTCTGCTTTGCAGCCGCCAGTGGGCAAAGAAGAAAGAACAAAAGTACACACTCCTTCCTTTTAAGAGCATGAATGACATGCCCCCAGCCCAATGGTCAGACTAGTGGTCTCATGGCTAGATCCAAGGGAGGCTGGGGAATGCGGGCTTTAGATGCGGCAGCCATGTGCTCAGCTAAAATATATAGATTTTACTAAAAAAGAAAGAAGAGGAGAATGGATTTTAGGATAACCAGGAGTCTTGTCCTCTTTGAGCTTCACTACTCTTTGACCTTGGACAAGTTACTTAGATTCTCTGAGCCTCAGTTTTGTCCTCTGTAAAATGAGAATGAGAGTATCATAAGCATGTTAGGATTTAGCTAGTGCGTGTAGAGTACCAAGCTCAGAGCCCGGCACGCAGCAAGTGCCCGATAAATGTGAATACGACCACGACTGGAAAAGGACGGTGTAATTGAAGGGCTAGGTCGGAGCTATCACGAAGTGAGCTGTGTGAGGACTATAAAACGTGAATTGCGTGAATTGCGTTGTCAGCAGACCACAAGGGCTCTTTGCTGGGTACTGCTTAATTGCTGAGCTTTCTCCTATCTGATTTCAAGGAATTCCGGGAGCTAGATGGAGTATTAAAAGGAGACGTTTTCAGACTCTTAGACAACTGAGGTTTAATTTCCCAGGTAGCAACAGTGACCCCACTAGGGCACGTGTGTGTTACCCTACAGCATCTGGACATATTCAGACACGACATTTAGATGTGAACCTAGAGCAGGATGCTCAGCCTTAGTTCTGCAAAATTTCAGGTTGTCTTCAATTATTTCTAAGGATATGACAAATACTTCAAAATAAAGTTAGATAAAATAAATTTTTATGCATGCGGTATCCACAATATTCTGACGTTATTCTACGTGACATCTATTGAGTTCTGGCCATGTACCCAGCACCCTGGTAGGCACTGGACAGAGTGATAAACGAAGGTAGATATGTGTCCTGCTTTCGTGGCGTGTGCAGTCTCTTAGGGGAGATAGACTTTAGTCACATAATTGCACAAGTCAATGTTAAAATTGCAACTCCTGTGTTATGGACAAGAGGTGCCCAGTGCTCTGAAAGTGAACAATAGGGGAAAATGGCTACGGGGGGGATGGGGAAGGTTTTCCTGAGGAAAGCAGTGCCCTTTGGCCGACTGCAGCACGAGGAAGAGCTGATGAGGGGCACAGAGGACGTGTGCTGATACAAGCTGGACTCAATCCAGCTTTTGTGGGGCCTGAAGAGTAGCTACTTTTGGAAGCCCTCTTTCAGAAAAAGGATATAAACACTACCTTCCTTTTGCAAATTTTACAAAAACACAAAACCACGCAAACACATCACGGACCACGCACAGGCGAGGCTCTGAGGCTCAGGCTGCGGCAGCCGTGAGTGCCCGCTCGGGCCAGGGTAGACCCGTTGCGTGGTCCGGAATGGACACAGCAAAGCATCTGAGTTTGGGATTGAGAGGCTACCCTACACTGGCCCCTTTCTCTGCCACTCCCTACTCTGTGAACTTGGGCACATCTGGTTTTCCTGGTTTGCTATTTTGGGATTAAAAAAAGCTTTAAATAAAACAGTGTATGTCAGCAGCTGGAATGAGGAGTGGCAACTAGTCGCATGGCTGTTAAAGCTTTTGGAAAGACTTTGTCCTTTTATGAGACGCAGGTTTCCTCCAAGGTGGGAAGTTGTTCCTTTGGGTGGTGGTTCAAAGATCCCCCGTTCACAGTGTGACCTCTCCTATCCTGACACGGCTGCCGCAGCAGGGGTGGGCTCTCACCAGCCAAAGCCTCCGGCAGGTGGTGAAGACTCAAGCTGTGCTGGCTTTGGAATGAGCCCAGCCCGTGCTCAGACCCTGCCAGGGAGGACAAGCACTGCAGTTCTCTCAGAGCTGAGGCCCGCTGGGAATTCTTTGGGCAGTCTCTGTAAGTAAGCTCAAATTTTAATTAAAAGCCCCTAAAGAGTTTGGGGCAGACTTTCTGAAAGGAGTATT